GTAATTAGTAAAAGTACACTTAATTTCAACCAAATGAAGTTGAGTGGTTTCTTTCCTGATTATTAAATGAAGCAGCACCTGACTCTCACTCACCTACCAGTCCTTCGAGGCAGTGGTGGGATTCAATAATTTTTACTACCAGTTCTGTGGGCGTGGCTTGGTGGGCGTGGCAATGGAAGGATAGTCTCCAAGAAGTTGTCTACCTTCTTACCTTACTAAAGTGTCGCTTCCTGCTCCACCCGGACTGTAATACAGGATGTTTTCCAAAGTCAATGAAAAGTGAAGGCCTTCCGCTTCGGAGATATAGAGGCTGGTGCTGTTGTTACTATAAGTGACGCACACAAACACCTGGTCTTCAGAAGTGTCAGCGATGTAGTACTCCTTCAGGACAAAATTTGGGAGCGGAAGATGTTTGTTCATTTTTTAAAATAAAAATAGAAAGCATTCGAGCAGGCAAAGTGGCTTAAATGTTTGACATCTAATCTCAAAAACGCCACCAAAATATCACACCTTTGCCAGGAGTTCACTGTAGCTTTAGATAAGCCTGAGTTTCCCCCAGCTGTGCAATGGGCATAATGATAATATCTTGAGACCCATTGAAAATAATCATTTGTTTTAAAGGATGCCTACAATCTATGGAAACATGCAAAAAAAAAATCTGAAAGAAAGCATGCCAATTACAGAAGTGTGGTTTACAGCTAAATAAAGTTTCTAGCCCCCTTAATTTGTTCGTACCTTAATGGGGTGTCTTGTTGCAAACTGTGCAGCCTGCATTGGCTTCCGGTTAAAGGATACCCAGAGTTGAACAGATGTTTGTAACTGATCACCCGACAGAGGCTGCGAAGAGAAAGGGACGGACAGAGAAAAATCAAGTATTCTGGCTCTTTTTCATCCTGGGTCAAAAAAAAGAACTTTTTAATAAAAGTTTCTGCAAACTGAAAACAAGTTAAAAAAAAAAAAACCAAGGCCCTCCATAAATCTCCACGTTTCACAGAGGTTCCAGGACTAAATTTCAGTTTAATGTTTAAACACGTGTTGTGACCAGCCAGCGGAGCTAGCAGCAGATTCAGACAGTGAGGAGGTTGGGGAGGAACATGGGCCAGTCCTGGCATCTGGGGAATAGCAGTTCGACTTATATACCGCTTCATAGGGCTTTCAGCCCTCTCTAAGCGGTTTACAGAGCCAGCATATCGCCCCCACAGTCTGGGTCCTCNGCCACTTGGAGGCTTATCTGTGTCCTCAGGGTCACTTGAGTGGTGCAAATGGGTGTGAAGCCTTCTTGGAACAATCTACAACACAGTCCTTTTAACAGTTCCAAGAAGATTCCACACCCGTTAGCACCACTCTGCAGGCTTCCCAAACCTTCTGCACGCCTTGTTTTTTGTGAAAACTGAATACAGCAATTTGGCCTCCCGAAACCCACCTGCTTTGCCAAAATGGACGTGCAGAGAGTTTGAGAGGCCTGGGGACTCGAGGGGGCAAAAACGAGCAAAAAATTGCCAGTTTTTCACAAAAACAAACCCATTTTTTGCAAAAAAAACAACAACAAACAAACCAGGGCATGCATAGGCTTTGGGAAGCTTGTAGAGTGCTCCTAGGGGCTTGGGGAGGGGGCAAAAACAAGTAAAAAAGGCCCATTTTTTTGCTCGTTTTTGCCCTCCCCAGCCTCCAGGAGCATTTTGCAGGCCGCCCAAACTCTCAGCATGTCCATTTTTGCAAAGGGGGTGGGGTTTCAGGAGGCCAAAATGCTGCATTCAGTGTATAAGACGCACCCAGATTTTCACCCTCTTTTTTGGGAGAAAAAGTGCGTCTTATACTCCGAAAAATATGGTAAATATTTACTTTGAAGTATTTGTAATTGGATAATTATTACATAAGATTAAGAAAAGATTCATGGCTTGAATGGATTAATGCTTTATGACGAGCTTGAGGCACGCTGGGCTGTATGTATTTCCACTTGCCAAAAATAAATAAAAATTACCTGTAGGCAGGTATCTCATCTTTACCACAAAAAAAAGGGGGGGGAGATAAGCTCACCGCCGATTGACGTCCCCTAACTTCGCCTACTTCTACAACCTGCGTGAAGCTTAACTGGGACCCCGGAATTCAATGAGCGATCCGAAAGCCTTCAGGGAGGCACCACCATTCCGTCGGTTGTCGGCATCATTACCTCACAATTTATCTTTTCGCCATAGTGAGTATACTCTGGAGGCTGGAGAAATTCCCAAGTCCCACCTTTGTCGAAGGTGATGACCGAGCGCATATTCTCGTCGCTGAACGAGCCGTTGATCAGGGTGGTGATATAGACCCCCGGAATCCCCTCGACGCGGTGGAAGTCTGCAAAAGGCTCGCTTGCGAAGTATCTGCCGAAAGAAGATACTCACTGTCAGCCTCTGCCTTGCTGCTGCTTCGGCTGCCATTGAAACGAGGAGGGGAAGGCATGGTATTTGGGAGGGGAATCATTGTATGCTGGAGGAATGTTCTAGAAGCTGTCCTGACCATCTCATTGTGCATATGGAGGAAGGGAGTTTCCCGCCA